ATATTATTTAGATATATATATATTATCGATTAAAGATTACATAAGTTATTCAACTCTCACTCAATAATATATATATATATATATATATATATATATATATATATATATATAGCTAGATCATATATAAAATAAAAATAAAAATTATAGACACAAATTAAAATATAATGTCAAACACTCTTAATAGAAAAATTAAAATATCAATATTTATTATAGGAAAAGTAGTCTCCACTCTCATTAATTTTATCTTTAGTAATTTATTTTTTAAAAACCACTAAAAAATATACAAATTAATAATATAAATTTTTTTGGTTATAACGAAAATTAGTTAGCTTCAGTAGTGGCAATGCAATTTTTAACAAATCATTTTGATTAAGGAATATTAACCATCACTCTAAACCTGTCAACTAATATTTTTTTCTAAAACCTTAAGTTTTAATAATCTCAATTAATTTATCAATATTTTATATAAAATGAAATTTTTTCATCCGTAAAATGTGTTTAATATATGATATTGGATAATGATACTTTGATAATATTTTAACATTATCTGCGTGTTATTCTGTGATTGGTCCATGTTGGTATTTATGATTAGTATTATTGATTGTAGAATAATTTTAGATCAATCATAGAACGATAAGTAAATGATGTTAAAATGTTGTGAAAAAATGTTGTTAAAGTATTATTAATTATATGGCACGTTTATGTGATAATGGATGACATTGTGTAAAGACAAACATGGTCTTGTTTACCTATAGTTGTCAAAATAGTAAAATGTTAATACTTTAATTTACTCCATATTTTAAAAGAGTTACAGATTTTATATGTAGAATTCTATTTTGAATTATTGAACTAATAAATCCCTTTGATTTGAGTTTAAGATATAAAAAAGAAATATTAGTTTTAGAAAAATGGTAAAATCACTAAAAATGAAGAACAAAGTTATTTGTTTTATTTATACCTCAACACCTAATTTATGTAAAATTATTAAGTGTGATAGAAATAAGCATAGGTGATAATGATTAATAAATATATGATATTGATATACTGTAAAAGCTTAATATAATAACAATAATATAAAAAAAGTTTATTTTCATTTGTTAAAAGAAAAACTAATATAATATTTGTGATGTATACACAGTTTTGGATCAGGTATAACTGTGAAAGTTTTCGGAAAAAGAAAACAAATTATAATATCTGTGGTTCTAATATAATGTACGAATGACCAATTGAAAACTGCCAACACATAATCATATCATATAAAACAAGCCTGTTTTAATTTTTGTGATTAAAGTTAAGCAGAAATTAAAATTTTTATAATCGTGTTGATATCGTATGATTTGTTTTATGCGTTTATCTCCAAAAACAACCATTGGATCTGTTGTTGAAATTGAAAGATGACTGGGAAGGACGAGTTCGTCTCTTACTCGCCCCTTCCCTCAAACCCTAATCCCAATCCTTACGCTTATCATTACCCAAATCCTAGTTCTTACCCCCAAAACGTTGTCGTTCTCCTACCCACCTACCGCCCTCGTTTTCACCGCCGTCGCCGCCGCTGCATCCTCTACTCATCCGCACTCTTCCTCTTCATCCTCTTCGCCGGTGCAGCCTTCCTCCTCTTCCCCTCCGACCCGGAGGTACGCCTCGTCCGGATCGGGCTGAACCACATTGGGATCCGAACCAACCCGAAGCCCATTCTCGACATTTCCTTCTCCCTCACGGTCAAAGTTCGCAACCGAGACTTCTTCTCCTTATCGTACGACACCCTCGCCGTCTCCGTTGGCTACCGCGGCCGCCAAATAGGGTTTGTCACCGCCCCTGGAACCGGTGGACGCATCAGGGCGCGCGCCTCTTCCTACGTCGACGCCACGCTCACCGTCGACGGGTTTGAGGTTCTCTACGATGCGTTCTACCTTATCGAAGATATCGCTAAGGGTGTGATTCCGTTTGACACTGAGTCGCGAGTTGAAGGGAAGTTGGGGCTTTTCTTCTTCACTGTTCCTTTGAAGGTACCAAATTCCAGTAATGTTTTAATTCAATTTCGGTTGTTTTTTTGCTCGAAAACTGATTCACACTTTATCCGCTACTCAAACACTCTTTGATTTTGGGGGAATTGTAAATAAATTATGCAGAGACATGCATATTTTTACAGTACTATAAGTTTGTATATTGACTTGTATATTAAATAAATTAAAAGTAATATTATTAATGATTATTTATGAATAGTTTGTAATGTATAAATTGAACTACAATATTGATGCATAAATTAAACGTGGTTTTATATTATAGGTTAAATAGTAATGTAGAAAAACAAGTTGGACAAAACATAGTACGTGTGTCTGTGTCTAATGAGTTGGAAGCATTAAAAACATTTAAAGCATTCTTCGTCTAGCAGGAGTATGTTGTGGAGGATTTTAAATTTTTTTGTGATAGACCAGATTAGTTACTTGGCATTATTTTTTTCATACTATTTAGAATTTCCCATGAGTGGATTACTTAGCTTTTGCATTTAATTTACTTGAAAGATGCTTCAGGGGATGAAGGTGAATTTTTTTCTCCGAATGTAATCTTTTAATTCAATGGTGGTAAAATACTGTTACTACCAATATTGTTTTGCTGTAACTATATAGCTTAAAATCTCGTATTTGATTGGTGGAACTTGCTATCTGGAGGATGTTGTATTTACTGGAAATTGACACGAGTAATGTCCATGCTTTTGTCTATTTGATTCCATTATATCTAAATACTGTATGCTTAATCTAGGCGACGGTGTCATGCGAAGTTTATGTGAATATAAACCAGCAGAGAATTGTGCGTCAAGACTGCTTTCCTGAGGTGAGGATTTTCATTTCTCATATCTGTCTACCATTTACAATTTTGTCTCCATATTCATAGCCCAGGAATGATCTTTGTCATCTATAGAGAGAAATTGTTCCGCTGATCCTGTCCATATTTTTTTACTGAATTGCATGTATCTGATTTATACTCCAGCAAGTAATTTTTAGGTTCAAATGCAATGCACTTGTCTCTTTTATACCTTGTGCAACTCGTAGCAAGTATTTAAGTTCTGTTTGGCTTACTATCAAACGCTTTGTCTGCTCTTACTACCCTAGAGGGACGAGGTTACATTAGGCACCTTTATTTGTCAAGAGAGTTAAAACCCAACTCAAAGTCAGTGTGGAGAAAAAGAGGCAATATTGGACAGTCCCTCGTCTGCTTCATATTAGAAGCCGCATAAACTTGGTGGGCACTTTTTATGTAATAGAAATTTGAACTAACCACAGGCTCTAGCTCGTTTGCTTGAACACAACTTAGAAAAGGGCGCGTGGAGTTGTGTGTGTAATTTTTCTTTGAATTGTTGCTTGCCTTTCTCCTGTAAGTTTCTGAAAATTCAAACAAGCGAAAGGTATCAAATAAATGTGTTCACTTCATATATGTGCATAGCAGCTACATGTATTAGCTTAAGACTTGAGAGCACGTCTCTTACAGTCTTGCCGTAGAGATCTTCTTTAGCTTAGCTGTTGTTTGAGAAACTGCTCAGATTAAACTTAAATTATCATGTTTTTTTGCCATAGAAGGCTGTTTCAATCATATAGGCTGTTTTTGAAAGAGAAGTTCAAACAACCATACAAAGGACGTAGAAATTACAGTGTTCTCCTATATGCAAAACTGTTATCATTGATCGCCTCGCCTCATTTTCACTTGGATTGGAACCTTGGATTCTCATTTTTTTTTTATAAATTGCTTGGGTTGCGTTATAGGACCCTTTTTTATAAATTGCTTATGCTACCATATTTCTGCCTTTGTTTAGTTAGTCTTATTTCACTGGTTAATCTATTCGTTTTGTAGCTGCATGCTTTTATTAGTGAAACATTATCATAAAGCTATTCTTTCCTGTGGCTCTGTGCAATCCTCCTTAGTATAACACTGGAAACTTCAAAGGATATCTGTTTTATGCCTTTTAAACTGAAATTGGTATTTTTCATTTTTAGATAGAATTTGAGTCGGTGTTTGTCAGCCTAGTAGCGTTTTTCTGTTAACCATTATCCATGTTTCTTAAATCCTGGAGTACTCTACTGGGCGATTGAGTTTCTAATAGAATTTACCCTCGGTACCAATCATCATTATTTACTGTTGTTTTTACGCAGTTTCAAAAGTTTAAGGTTGAACTAAATTATAGTATGAGCTTCTCGTTTGGTACTTTCAATTTTTCAAGTTTTAGTTATGCAGGCCTTTTGTCTTATTCCGTCTTGTTTCATATTCTTAAATTCTTGTAATTAAGCATATCTTAATTTAATATATAGAACTTGCTAATGCGTTATTCACTTGCTTCAGTCATTGGGTGATCCGCTGGATCAGAGCGCAGATATTGAAGCTGGTGATACATGATGCGGTATTAATCTTTAGCATCCTTTATCTATACTGCTCTGGTGGTGGTGGTGTTCGTATTCATTACATTATTGTTAGCGTGCTGTATAATCTGTACATGGTTCCACACCCTTGTAAATAACGATTAACTAGAAACCACCTGCATTTTGTATTCAACCCTCCTATGAGTTAATAATGTAATGAAAATGTTACCTGGGAGTTTTTCAGTCTTGTAGTTCAGAAATAAAAATATATCTTCCCTCATAATCTGATTTTTCTCTCCTTTTAGGGCGCTTATATATTCACAGTGCACACCCGGATTTTTGTTGAGTTTTGTTTTGATAGTTCTTTTATTCCACTGGTTGGTAAATACTTTTAGGAAAAATGGAATGGTGGTTTAACCAAGTGATTTGCTTTCGTCGCTTACTTATACTGTAAACATTATCTTTTTGTGCAATTTGAAATTGCGGAAGCTTTGAATAGAGTGTGTAATATATTATGTATAGCATACCGTAGTACGATAATTCGTAGTTTTTTTTAGCTGAGCCGATATTCTGTAGTGCACATGGCCGATTTTATTTAATTATAGCAATTTTTACTGTGAGATAAGACTTCATCGATAAGGCTCGGTTGATGCTGTTGAAATTCCTGGACATTTGTGTTGTTTTCTGTTTTTACTGTGAAAAACCAAACTCCTACTGATTATGGGGCAAATGTGAGAAAAAAGGTCCTAGCACGATATCGTATTAAAGTAGCTAGATTGGTTTTTCAACTTGAATTTCTTGGTGGAATGTCGTCATCAGAGGTTAGTGGGGTGCCATCTAGCATCAAATTTCTAGTAGCAGTCTCTGTTCTGACCAATATTCTGTTCTCAACGGGTTCTTCTAGTAGATTTATAGGTGATGGTACACATGCCTCGTTTTAAAGGGAACCTAGAGCAGGGGTATAAAACCCTACTTTCTTCTACCGTACTTCAATGATTAGGTGCTTTTGATCTCTCTTTTATTCTCACCGACGATGAAAGGCAGCATGTAATGCCTTCATGGTATTATTTATTTCACAATGCTTCTGCTATTCATTCTGTGATCTTGTTCCTAAATAATGCATAAACTGTAACCGCATCACACATTACGACCATTAGATAGATATATCTGTGTATTTGAGATGGCTATTGTGTCAATTCTGCTTAATCAAGATCTAACGGATGAGACTATAACTGTACCTTAATCAATATTTGTTTAAGAGTTAATGCAACACTTGTTTTTCTTTATTTTTAGTTAAGATACTAATTCAATCCTTATTTAGTTCAGTTTTATCAATTCAGTTTTTCTTATTAAGATTTTAATTTTTAATAAATTTAGTCATGTCGTTTAAATAATCGTGAATGTCACGTATTAGACGGTGAATTGTGGATCTCATTTATCAGTTTATGTCTTTTTTAAAATTAAATTTTATTAAAAAATATCAAAACTAAATTGACAAAACTCGACGAAAAGAAACCAAATTCGTATTCTAATTTTTTCTATCCAAACATGTAGTTATACGATGAAAAAATCTGCCTTATGGCACAGAAAAAACAAAGAAAGTCACAATTTTCATTATCATTCACCACAAAAGCAAGCAGCTCGAACATCTGATCTCAAATTCTGTCATCGTTCATCATGAAAGAAGAAAGATGGATTGTTTGTTTACATGCATGCTAATAAACTCTTATCATTAACTACATCCAACTACTTATCAGCTCTACCACGCCATACATACTCCCCGTGATGCAATCGGCACCGGAATGACCCCGGATGCTGCGACGGCGAGCACGCGCATCGCTTCACAGAACCACTCTCGCCGGAGCTGCCACCACCATCACGAGGCTGCCCTGGCACCGCTGACAAAAGCCATCTTCTACGCAGCATGAAGGCTTCTCTGTTGAGAAAAGGAAGTCCAGGGTGACACATTGATTCTTCTTTGTGCTTTGAACCTTTTTGTTAGCAGTGGCTACAACACATTATATATATTATGTGGCTCACTTTTGAAGTTTAGAGTTGAAAAAGAAAAGAATCTGAGAGGGGGAATATGACATTTTGGAAGAAGAAAAGAAAGGGGAAGTAAAACGTTGGGTGTTTGGCATCGTAAGAAGCACTGACAGGTTTTGAGGATGTTTTTGTAGTGTGTGTTGGGTTGTATTGTGTTGTGTTGTGACCAAATCCCACTGCATCTACGAAACCATGTTGTCTCTTTTGGCATCTGTCTTTGCTGCTTCCACGTGGCTCTATTCAGTCCCTCTAACTCAATAACAAATCTTGCGTGGCATCTGCCTCTTCTGTGACACCACCCACCTTCAAAAATATTCATCACAAAATATCGTGAAAATTTAAATAAAATTTAATCTAAATACAATTGAAAATATATTAAACTTCATATATAATTTAAAATAAAAAATACAATCCAATATGTTAAATTTTAAATACAATTCAAAAACATAAAAATACAAACAAATTACTATTTAAATTAAATTATTTTTGTTATTTATCCATTTATACTATTAGAATTTTGAGTGATAAATTCATCAAATACGAGGATTTACGTTTAAAATTTTCATTTTTTTTATACAACTTAAAATTTATAGATAAATTGTAATCTAAATTTAATAGATTGGGTTCAATTTTAGTCTATGCGAAAAATTATAATTCTTTTTAAACTCAACTCAGGTTCAAATTTATATATAAGATTGATTTGTAAGTTTTAATTGTAATAATTTTAAATAAATTATATAATTTATTCCTTTTATCACATAAAAATGTGTTAGTTTATAATTGTGACATCCCAAAATATAGTAACCACATCATATAATTTAGGAGTCAACATTCCCAATAAAGAGAACAGTTAGAGTATGACTTGCAATTAAATACGTAACTACAGTCATCCAAATAAAGGATAGAATTTAAAACTTAAAAAGTTTTGATTATTTCAAAATAACACCAACTCTTATTTAGAAATCCTAAAAAGACTATAAAGCAGCATCAACATCTTCCAACTCTTACTCCAAGCGAACCTCCTCGACAACATCTGCTCCCATACAAGTGGATGATCATCGCAAAGGAAAAACATACCCAAACAACACACAACACAGAAGCAAGGGTGAGCTAGGTAAACAAGCAATAAACATATAGTACAATCAATCCATGTTATCATGCTTAGTTACGTATAAAAGAACAATTAAAGCATAGCCATTAAACCACGACTCACACACTCACACGACTCATCCGGATTTGTATAACTGTCGAACTATTGGTCGTCTTTGCACTTGCGTAGTTCAGCTGGCACTCCCCAACACTATGCAAGGTAAATCCCCCAATCTGTCTATGTCTAAACTCTAAGACTATAGACGAGGACCTCCCTCTACTCTCACCACTTACACTGCTCTCCTCTATCTGAGTATGAACAGTGCTTCGAGTGTAGGGATAGACATACCAGTTCAAAGCTCCATACAGTTATACAGAACAACATCATCACCCCACACATCACTTTCAGTCATCTCTCCCTGAGATGTCCTCTTCATATTCATTTACATCATCATACAACATCAACCATGTCATAAAAACAACTCATACATTACATACTTTCACAAAACCATCACTTATTAACACAAATTTCTTTAGGACTTTTAATGTTCAATACTTAAATAATTCAAACAGCTTGGAGACCCTCACCAATGGCTCCGGAAGGGTCAAAACCCCCCAGAACGACCTAAAGAACGTCCAAAACGGACATCCAGAACCCCGAAAACCACCCAAAACTATCCGGAATGATTTTCCGACGACAATAATCGATTATCATATGTGATAATCGATTATTTGCGAGAGTTTTGAAGAGGATACAACTCTCTGACTAAAATAATCGATTATCAAGTGAGATAATCGATTATTCTTATCAGTTTTTGACAGCAACGTGATTTTTGTAGTTTTGGTGCATCTTAGACATATCCAAATGAACAAATTAAAATCTGTAACTCTAATATTGATATGAAACATGTTTATAGATGAAAGTAAAGCATTGCATTGGTCATTTGGATAGGAATTAGATGTACTAAACCAACTCAATTTCTACTCCAAAACATCTAACTCAATAACTAGAGGACCCCAAACCCAATTTTATTAACTCAGGACCCAATTTCAATCCTACCATGTTGCTAATGGCTTTGCTCAATTTTATGATCCTAACCAGTTCTAATAGACTCATATCAGCCAGCCCCCACTGTCCAATTTCACTCAAGACTCCCTAGGCTCAAATCCTCTACCTCAGTTCCTCTCAAAAGGCATAAAACATTACTCTCTTAACCCTTTACTCTTCTCGCAAGACCAACTCATCACTTCCATTCCAACCACTTTTTACTACCCAGTTGGTCAACGGAGAAGAATCAGACGTCTGAACGCATCAGTCTCACCTTCGACGCCAACACATATGACTAGTCACAACGTACTGGACCAGGCCAGGGCTGCTCTATGATCAGGGATGTGCCAACTCAGGTTTTTAAGATTCCTCTATCCTACCAACATAGTACTCTGAACAGGTCCCAATTCAGTAACCTAAGTTATCCAAACTGCCCTATAGTGTTTTAGACTCTACTTGCCCCATTTCCCTTATCTCACTTCCCTTTACCGTAAGCTAACACAGTACATGCACACCTATTTATTAACCCCAAGACCAACATTACATACTCCAGTCCTCTCCAACAACAGTCAATACAACCAACAAATATATCCAGGTAAAATCAACATCAGTACAGCATGATCACACAATTTCTTCATTTTCAACCAACACAATTTAAACATGTTCAGCACCAAAACAACATAACAGTAAAAAGCAAAATAAATCAGACAAGCATATCATACATCATCTAAAATTGTAACTAGCTCCCCTTACCTCAGAGTCGAACTACCAAGCTCATAGG